GTTTTTAAGTATGTAAGGCCAAAATTAGAATCAGAAGACCATTTTAATGGAAATTTCTTTGTTTCCTTTATGTGTTTAAATTATGAATCAACAGTTTTTGACAACAGAAAACTTACACATAATTTAGATCATCATACCACATCTATTTTCATTGTTACTTATATTTTCTAGTCATCTATGTGAATAATTTACATAAAGTATGATATTTAAATACTCCACTTATCATTACTACATGAGCATTTTTTAAATTTCTATAAAGTCTTCATGATTACTAGTATCCATATTTTTAATTATAAGTAAGACTGAAATAAACATCATTGGCATTTTCTATTGGTTAATTTACTGAGGATAACTTCCAAGACTCAGTTTTTTAAGTTAAAGGTATCAACATTTTGCTCATATCTGTTAAACTTCTGGCATTTTTCTTATAAATTTTATTAGTCTTAATTGTGTCATAGATATGCCATAATGGGCATAAATGTTTTTCCTTTGTTTAAAATTTAGCAAAACCAAAATCATATTTCCTTTATTGTCTGACCACCAAAGAAGCATCTCTTGCTGCCTGGTTCTAGAGGACCCTAGACAAGATGAAGGCTCTGATTTTGTTTGCAGCCATCTTGATCTTTACAGCTTGTTTCTCGGTAAATATAAAATGTTTTATTAAATGTGTATATCTATTTTCTTACTTGGCTCTTAATCATAAAGTGTACGTTCAGTTCATTGCTGTATGCTGATGCAACTGTATACTATGACAACCCTGTTTTAATTATTTCTACCACTTTCTCTACAATCTTTTGTTGACCTTGGGATGCACAATATAGTTTCTCTTTCCTCCCACATAAAAGTAGTCTCTAGAATTCCAAACGTGTAAATAGGATGCTGTAATGTTGTGATTTTAAAATTTTGTATTCTGAATCTACCCCAGCAGTAGCACGCCTATATAAAATTTAGTCTTTGGTAGGCTCTCCAAAATAAAAATCTGTAAATAAGAAAACTGACTACAAGGAACACTATAAAATAATGTTGCAACCATATAAAGACTTTCACATGGATCAAATAAATTAAGAAAATCTACCATTTGATCCAGCAATCCCATTACTGGGCATCTACCGAAAAGAACAAAAGACATTCTATAAAAAAGACATCTGCACTCAAATGGTTATAGCAGCACAATTCACAATTGCAAAGATGTGGAAACAACCCAAATGCCCATCAATACGTGAGTGGATTAATAAAATATGGTATATGTATACCATGGAGTACCATTTAGCTATAAGAAACATTGGTGATAGAGCATCTCTTGTATTTTCCTGGATAGAGCTGGAACCCATTCTACTAAATGAAGTATCCCAAGAATGTGAAAATAAGCACCACATGTACTCACCAGCAAATTGGTATTAACTGATCAACACATAACTGGACACATAGGAATAATATTTACAGGGCATCAAGCAGATGGGAGGGGGGAGGAAGGAATGGGTATACACATACATAATGAGTGCAATACACACCATCTGGGGGATGGACAATGCTTGAAGCTCTGACTCTGGGGGGGGGAGAAAGAGGGGAAAGGCAACACACATAACCTCAACATTTGTACCCCCATAATATGCTGAAACAAAAAAAAATAATCTAGACATGATATTAACTTTCAACCAAGAACTTGCGTGGTATCCTATAATATTTTTAGATTCGTTTACCTAACATCTGCACCTAATTTACATTACCTAAATGATGAAAGGAATATCATCTAAGAATTATTGCTACAAATATAATCCAGGATCATTTCCTGAACAACCAGAGTCTTTCGGGCACTACCAACTATGGGAACTGTCTCTCCCTCTCTTGCCCCAGGCTAAAATGCAGCAAGGAGGATTTTCCACCCAATGGAAAACTATAATTTCTTTGGACCATTCATTTTTTTCTTCCACAAAAGACAGTCTGTTTTTTTCTTATACCAAGTTCATAGGATTTGGGTAATACCATAATGGTCTCCAGGCTTGACACTTGAGTAAATGGTAGTTATAATGATGAAGAAAGTCAAATCTAATATTATCTATGAATTGGAGACCAGTTGCCAGCACATCCATTTTAATGTGGCAAAAAAAGGAGCCCTTCTGCTTAAAGGATACAGGAAAAACAGATCGTCTTTATTCCATAGACTGTGTGTTCTTTAAACTCTCATGAGGTCCCTCATGTATAATGATGATGCCAGAAATTCTAAAATTGTTTCATTCTATTTATCCTAACCCCACCACATTGTACTTTCATACATGACTTACAATCACTATTCTCAAAATGTCATACATGCTCTGGATCTAACTTTTTTATATTTGTGTTTCCCATTTCATTTTAGTCTGCTGGTACACCTAAGCCAGAAAACCACAAAGAAGTAAGTTTTATTACTTTTCTGGTTATCTTTCACATTATGTTTGAGGAATCAACAAGGTACAAATATTTTCTTTTATTTACAACCTAATAAAATGCCAAAAGAGGGCCAGAGAGTCACCTGAATATCAAAGTTTAGAAACCAAATAGGAATAGTTGTATAAGCACCAAAATCTTACCTGCAGTAGCCTGCCTCTTAAATATGTACTAATCTGCAATGGGAGTAGAACAGCTTAGCTCATGAAATGCAAAGTGTACCTAGACTTTGGTACTAGAATATGTCTACATTTCTTTGTTCAACATAGATGTATTATTCCTTGTAAACATTGATGGTTTCTTTAAATGAGGAACATTTCCTATGAACATGCAAAAAGCAAAGCAAAAATTAGTTTCTTTTTTATAATCAATGATTTTCAATTGAAAAGGAAAGAAAACTCAACATCAGCTGGAAAGACTTTTCAAAATTACAAATCCCTGTGAAACTCCTTGTAATTCGTAATTCTCATAATCACCACCCCATGTCAAATTGGATGTGGGGTGCACAGTGCAATGTGTTACCTGAAATACTTGTGATGATATGCTGTTATATCTTCCTTATCTTCCTTTGCACCATCCCCAGACTAGTACTCTAAATGAATTAAAAACAAAACAAAGTTAGCTTGCTTCTAATACTGTAGAATATACACTCCTTGGTTTAATGACTCAATTTGTTCTAGACTATGATTCCTTTTGTTCATCCAAAGGTAAATATAGCCACATGTACTTTGGCATCAACTAGGAAATATTTGGAATTTCAATTTTCTTTCTTTGGGCAGCATTTCATTTTTGTATCTCAAACAATTAAGGAGTACAGTAATAATGAAGTCAGGGCTTTTAGTGTGCCTGTCACCAGAGTAATGTATGCTGCACCAGATAGGTAAGTTTTTATCCTTCCCCCACCCTCCCCCCTTCTTAGATTCCAGTTTCCTTTATTACATGACTGCATGTCCCCATCATTTAGCTATGACATACTCGTGACAATATCACATCTACACAGTAATAAAAATCTTGAAAAGGATCCAGACAAGAGAAGACAACTCTGTTAGAATGTTAAAGCAGCTCTATAGTAAAGTTAATTTATGGCAAAAATTGAGTGCCTACTGGGTCTCCCAGTACAGATTTACTGGAGTTTGAATCTTCTATTCAGCGGGAAAATGCAACACTGCCTTAGTGTCACATGGCATGGGAGCAGCAGGACAGGAGGAGTGAAAGTTAAGATTCTCCAAACTCGGTCTGAAAGACACTGGCATGAAGGAGGAGGTGTATGACACAAGAATAGACAACAACTGTTTCATGCAGACGAAGGTGGAACCTCATATTTAGAATCTCAAGGATAAGCCTCTGCCACTGAAGATAAAATGAGAGACCAGGACCTAGTGAGAAATCCTAATGAAAGGTCACATTAAAATCTGTGTAACTGACTGGGCTTGGTGGCTCACGCCTGTAATCCTAGCTCTCTGGGAGGCTGAGGTGGGCGGATTGCTCGAGGTCAGGAGTTCGAAACCAACCTGAGCAAGAGCGAAACCCTGTCTCTACTATAAATAGAAATAAATTAATTGGCCAACTAATATATATAGAAAAAAAATTAGCTGGGCATGGTGGCACGTGCCTGTAGTCCCAGCTACTTGGGAGGCTCAGGCAGGAGGATCACTTGAGTTCAGGAGATTGAGGTTGCTGTGAGCTAGGGTGACGCCACAGCACTCACTCTAGCCTGGGCAACAAAGCGAGACTCTGTCTCAAAAAATAAATAAAATAAAATAAAATCTGTGTAACTAAAGCTTCTCTTTAACCACAGCATTAAAACATATTAGGCTGTTTTACAGCATAGAAATTAGAACAGCATTTCCTAAAAAGTGCTCCATGAAACACTGAAAGACTAGTATGAAAAACTGTTACACACACATACATGAAATATCCATGGCGAAGCATATTTGGGAAATAGTGCAAATCACTTGGATGTGCTAAATATTCATTGGCATATTACACTAACAATTCCAATAAACCCTGCATTAAAGACACATGTTTTACTTTATCCAAAATCTTTCTACAGTTTTTTGGCCACCAAAATCTTTTCAACATAGTGTTTATTATGGAACACATTTTGAGGAAATCTATAATAAACCTATTAGGCTTTGACACAGCAGAGACTCAGTTTATTTCCTTTCTATTTTACCAAATGTCATAATTCAAAATCCTGTATGAGGTGGATATATTATTCTATCCAATCACTTACGGAAGGAAGTTAGAATACACAAATTTAAATGATAATATAAACACGTGTTTAAAGCCTGATGTAAGTTTATTTATCCCATCTGTATACAATTTTTTTTAATTATCTCTCTGAAGTCTAGCCATAGTTCTAAAGAGAAGTTTAAGCCGCCTAAAGGAAGAATTCTCGGAAATCCAGGAAATCACGGGTGTCAACCAAACAACAAGGAATGTGAAAATGCTGAACCAGGCCCTGCAGGTCTCCATCATCTCGCCAGCGACCCCCACCTGCGGCTCGCCCGGCCCCCGCCCCGGCCCCGCCCTCCGTACCTGCCCCGCCCCCGGCCCCGCCCCCGCCGTGGGCCCCATCCTCTCTAGACCTGCCCAGACGCCTGTGAACGTTGTAAACCCCAGTTCTGGAGCCCCACTAACCACTTCCGCCGAGGCGGCTCCCGACACCCGCACTGAGGCCGCCGGCGCGTCTAGCCCAGCTGCCGCCTGGACGCTTCCCCGCCTGCCAGCAGCAACAGCGTGCGCAATTTCTGTAACTGTCAGAGATTACAAATATATGAATAAACTACATGAAGAAAAAGGCAACCAAGTGAAATGCTATCCAGAATATTTTCTAACTGAGTGATTTAGAGTTGTGTCTAAGTAAAACCAGATTTTTTTGAGCCACAACCAAAGAGAAAGGTAACAGTTTCTAACACTGGCTTATGGATTAGAGGGTTTTATTCTCCTTTGAGTCAAGAGCTAAATTTGGTCTCCTTTAGCAGATTATATCTACACACACACTGCTGGCCAATTTCTACAAAAGAAACAAAAGGTTGATCACAAGTGTATCTGTTTTGATCTTCTGATCCCAACACTAATACGTGTTTATTTTCCTGAAAAGCTTACTTTTAATTAGGGCCTTAGTAAATTAATGTGAGTTTGGAGTTCAAAGTTTATTAAATTCCACAAAATGTACATTTCACATAAGAGGAATTCTTCCTCTTTCAGGACCTATCAACTCTAATAAGGCAAAAAAGAAGTAAACATTTTAGGAAATATTACAACTATCTTTGAAAATATTAACATAATATTAATGTAAACAAAATTCCAACCCATAAAATGGCTCTTTTGCTATATACATTGACTAAAACACACACATCAAGATATAACATGATTCTTCAGAAAGAACATTTAAGATGTAGGACATCATATATTGCTCCTATTTATGAATATAAGAGCTCCTAATTATTAATATAATGGGAAGAATTGTCCTAATTATACAAAAATCTCAATGATAGATGCCAATTGTTGAACACCTATAACACTTCAGATGTTCCTGTTGCACAAAATACTCCTTATACTGAATCCAACTTAAAACTCACAACAATCCTGTGAAGCACGTGACATGGACTCCTTTTTAAAGATGAGAAAACTGAGGTTATGTGACTTTCCAAAGATCAAAGTTATAAATGGCAGCCCACTCTTCAGACTCACATCTATTTAACTCCAAAGTCCCAGCTACTAATGTCCTACCCAGCATTTGGCTATTTTAAAACAATTACAGACAGTAGCAATTAATTAATTAATTACTTTTAATTAATGGCATATTGTATTTTGTTTTATTTTACAGATCCTGAAAAACTGAATATTGATATATTTGTAATCACCTTTTCTGATCTTCTCATTTTAACAAAAATATAGGAATATAGATTCTTACGGTTTATTCTTTTGTCTTGCCACACTGTAAAACCTTCCAAAGATAACTTGACTTATGCATTTGATCATATGTGTATTGGTCTCTTCTTTATTCCTCTAGAGAATGACAGCACTATCATCAGCACATTTATCCTTCAGATAGTTCTTTAACACAAAAGGTACATGGCCCCTGAAAAAAATCTTAAATGTTTCACAAGCCAAAAACAAAAAAAGTGTTTTAAAGCCACCCCATATAACACATGTTACAATATTATAAATCTTAGAAATTACTCTCCTTTTTGATATAAAACATCCATGCATTTAATCACAATCAAATATGCTTATGAATCTGTAATTGTACTTCATATAAATTATACATATACATATATAAAATTACAGCTATGACAAAAGCTACAAAAAACAGGTGCAAATGCAATCTTGCCCTCAAAGAGATCGTAGTCTAAGAAGATACTTCAAAAAGCATTAAAAGGAAAAAAAGTTAAATTCCTACAGAACTACAGATATTCTTTCTCAAACACTATTTCTTCACCTAAACAGGTATTTTCTTCAGAGATTGGTCAACTAAAACTTTATGCCATTCCACAAACCATTTCATCCAAAGATATATTAGATTAATATCTAATTGATAAATTAATCCATGCAAGTGATTTAGTAAAATTTACCTATATTTAGGACAAAGAAGATAAGAGTACAAATACAAGAGCACATTTCTCCTCACAATACAAGTTCTCAAGGATATTGAAGGGTAGAAAAAAAGAGAAGAGAGAAGGAGGGGAGGAGGAGGAGGATCACAAGAAGCCCACACTTAGACCTGAAGAAAGAAGAACAAACAAAAAAGGAGCAGTCTGAAGTAAGAAAACTAAGAAATTTACATAAAAGCCAAGCAGAGAAAAAGGTTTAACGCAAAGTGTTAAACATGTTAAGAAATGGTAAGAAGAAAAAAATGAGAAGTACAAGGAGAAAATGAATGACAACTATGTGGAAATAAGAGTCTCAGTAGTGTTCAAATTATGAACAGGGGGCAAGAGGTAAGTAACAAAAGAGGTTTCATGTTAAAAACACCAAAACAGGTACACTAATGGTTAAAAAGGTAATGCTATCAGGAACACAATTTTTTTTATCAGAAGACATGAATTAGGAAATGTATCTAGTTGAAAATAAGAAATTGAATTAAATAATTACTTAATTATTAATTAAATAATTTTTATTTCAATGGGGGGGGAAATGGTTTAGTAACATGGATACCTTTCATAATGCTTATGTCAGTATTTTGGTGTGCCTGTCACCAGAATAGTGTCCATTGTACCAAACTGGTAAAATTTTATCCCTCACTCCCTCAACCTTCCCATTTCTTGGTTTCCAAGGTCCTTTCTATTTCTTTGTGCCCATGTATACTCACCGTGTAGCTCCCACTTATTAGTGAGAAAATATGGTGTTTGGTTTTCCATTCCTGAGATACTTCACTCAGGATAATGGTCTCCAATTCCATCCAAGTTGCTACAAAGACATTATTTTGTTCCTTTTTATGGATGAGTACTACTTCATGGTATATATGCACCACATTTTTTGTATCCACTAGTGAACTGATCAGCACTTAGGTTTATTCCACATCTTGGCAATTGTGAATTGTGCTGCAATAAACATTTCAGTGCAGAGGTGTCTCTGAGGTGTCTTTTCGATAAAATGACTTCTTTCCCTCTGGGTAGATAGCTAGCAATGCGAATTCAGGATAGACTGGTAGGGCTAAATTTATTGCTTTGAGGACTCTCCATGCTTTTTTCCATAGAGGTTGTACTAATTTGCAGACCCATCAACAGTGTATAAGACTTCCTTTCTCCCTACATCCATGCCAGCATCTATTGTTTTTTGACTTTTTAATGATGGCCATTCTGACTGGGGAAAGGTGGTATCTTAATGTGATTTTAATTTGCGTATACCTGATGATCAGTAGTATTGAGCATTTTTCATATGTTTCTTGGCCATTTGTCTATCTTCTTTTGAAAAGCTTCTGTTCATGTCTTTTGCCCACTTTTTGATAGGATTATTTTTTCTTGATTTATTTGACTTCTTTGTAGATTCTGGATGTCACTCCTTTCTCAAATATAGTGTTCGTGAATGTTTTCTCCCATTCTGTTGATTATTTTGTTTGCTATGCAGAAGCTTTTTAATTTGAGTTTTATTTATTCATTTTTGTTTTTCCTGTATTTGCCTTTGAGGTCTTAGTCATAAATTCTGTGTCTAGGCTGATGTCTAGAATAGTTTTTCCTATGTTTTCTTCTAGAACTTTTATCGTTTCACGCCTTACATTTAAGTCTTTAAGTCTTTAATCCTGAATTAATTTTTGTATATGGCTAGAGATTGGGGTCATTTCATTCTTCTGCATATGGCTATCCAATTTTTCCACCACCATTTATTGAATGGAGCTTCCTTTCCCCAGTGCATGTTGTTGTCTGCTTTGTCAAAGACGAGTCAGTAATAGCTATACAGTTTTATGTCTGGGTTATCTATTCTGGTCCATTGGTCTATGTCTCTACTTTTATACTAGTAGCATGCTGTTTTGATTACCGTAGCCCTGTAGTGTAATTTGAAGTCTGGTAATGTGATGCCAGATTTGTCTTTTTGCTTAAAATTGCTTTATCTTTTCAGGCTCTTTTTTGGTCCCAAATGAAGTTTAGGATTATTTTTTGTAGATTTGTGATATATGTTGGTATTTTGACACAAATTATGTTGAATCTATAATCATTTTGGGCATAATGGACATGTTAAAAATGTTGATTCTGCCAATCTTTTCCATTTTTTTGTGTCATCTCTGATTTCTTTCATCAATGACTTGCAGTTTTCCTTGTAGAAATCTTTTACCTCATATGTTAACCATATTCATAGGTATTTTATTTTCTCATTAGCTATTGTGAATAGCATTCACTCCTTGATTTGACTTTCAGCTTGACTGTTATTAGTATATAAAATAGCTACTGATTTGTGTACATTGATTTTAAAACCTGAGACTTTGCTGAATTTATTTATCAATTCTAGGAGTCTTTTGGTGGAGTCTTTAGAGTTTTCTAGATACAAGATCATATCATCAGCAAACAGAGATAGTTTGACCTCCTCTTTCCCAATTTTGATACCTTTATGTTTTTCTCTTGCCTGATTGCTCTGACTAGGACTTACAGTACCATGCTGAATAGAAATGGTGACAGTTGGCACCCATGTCTTATTCCATTTCTTAGGAGGAATGTTTGACAAGTTTTCCCCATTCAGTGTAATGTTGGTTGTGGGTTTAGCATATATGGCTTTTATAATTTTGAGGCATGCCCCTTCTATGTCTAGTTTGTTGACAGTTTTTTATCATAAAATGGTGCTGTATTTTATCAGATCTTTTTCTGCATCTATTTAGATCAGGCGTCCTCAAACTATTGCCCACAGACCACATGCGGGTGTTTTTGCCTGTTTGTTTTTTTACTTCAAAATAAGATATGTGCAGTGTGCATAGGAATTTGTTCATAGTGTTTTTTAAACTATAGTCCGGCCCTCCAACAGTCTGAGGGATAGTGAACTGGCCCCCCATTTAAAAAGTTTGAGGACCCCTGATTTAGATGATCACATGGTCTTTGTTTTTGTTTCTGTTTGTGTGGTGAATACGTTTAATTATTTATGTATGTTGAACTATCCTTGCATCTCTGGGATGAAACCTACTTGATCATAGTGAATTATCTTTTTCATGTGCTGTTATTTGGTTTGCTAGTATTTTGTTGAAGATTTTTGCATATGTGTTAATAAGGGACATTGGTCTAGTGTGCTCTTCTTTTGTTGTGTCCTTTCCTGGCTTTGGTGTAAAGGTGATACTGGCTTCATAGAATGAATTAGGGAGGATTACCTCCTTCTTGAAATTATAAAATAATTTCTGTAGCATAGATACCACTCCTTCTTTCTAGGTCTGGTAGAATGTAGTGGTGAATCCATCTATCTATCTGGTCTAGGGATTTTTTTTTTTTTTTTTGGTTGGGAGATTTTTTATTACTACCTAAATCTCACTGCTCATTATTGATCTTTTTAGGCTTCGGAGGCTTTTGTGTTTTCAGGAATTTATCTATTGCTTCTGTGTTTTCCAGTTTGTTTGCTTAAAGGTTTTTGTAGTGTTCAAAGATGATATTTTGTATTTCTGTGGTGTCAGTTGCAATGTCTCCTTTTTCATTTCTGATTGAGCTTATTTAAGCCCTTTCCCTTCTATTTCTGTTTAATCTGGCTAGTTGTCCATTGATTTTGATCTTTTCAAAGAACTAACTTTTTGTGTCAATGATCCCATGTATTGTTCTTGTTCATTTCCAATTCATTTAGTTCTTTCCTGAGCTTTGTTACTTCTTTCCTTTTGTTACCTTTGGGTTTGGTTTGTTCTTGTTTTTCTAGTTCCATGAGATGTGACATTGGGTTTTTGTGATCTCTCTGGCTTTTTGATGTAGGCATTGAAGGCTATGATTTCAACCCCTTAAGACTACTGGTGCTATATCCTTTAATTTCATCATTGACCTAAGGATCATTCAGGAACAGGTTGTTTAATTTCCATGACTTTGTGTAGATCTGAGTATTCTCTTCAAATTGTTTCATTCATGTCTTAAAATATTTTTTTGCCTTTTTTTGTTAATTTTAAACATTCTCTTCAATTTCATTCATATTATTTGCCATCCATATTCTTAATTCCATTTCTGACATTTTGACTTTTTGGTTAGGGTCCATTGTGGATCTACTGTGGTCCTTTGGAATGTTGAGCTAGCTTGTTTTTTCATGTTGCCAGAATTCTTTTGTTGGTGTCTTCTCAACCGAAACCTCTTCTCTCAGCTCAGGGCTGTCAGGCTTATGGCATACCTGTTCTCCTTTGCTAGGAACTCTCCTACTTATTGAGAAAGAGGAGAGGTCCTACTCCAAAGGACTGGCCCAGCAAGGGGGAAATGCACTGAGAGCCTGTAATGTGGCTATTCCCTTATGTCTCCCTGTTCCTTTGCGGTTGTCATAGTCTAAGCCAGTGCTTGGGGATATTCATTCAGATTGGTGGGTTTGTCCCTAGGCCACTGTGAGAAGCTCAGGCAGGTGGCTAAATGAGTTCCATTCCATGGAAGTGTGTCACAGGCCTTGGCAGATGCCGAGGTTGTAGGACCTTGAGGTCACCTGGACATGTCATGGGACTGCATTCAGTGGTGGGTTGGGTCACAGGACCTTGGCAGGAACCTGGATACATGCTGGGACATTGGTGAGCACCTAGGCATGTCACAGGACTACAGCTGGCATTGGGATGGTTCACGGAGCCTTGCTGGGTACCTGAGCATGTCACAGGACCTTCCCAGTGCCTGTGCATGTTGCAGGACCTTGGCAGGTGACCAGGCAGGTCGCAGAACTTTGGTGGGCACCCACGTTTAAGGGTTCCTTGGTGAGCATCAGGATGGGTCACAGGACATAGCTGGGCACTTGGTCAGGTCATGTGACATTAGCGGGTGCTTGGACAAGTTAGAGGGCCTTGGCTGGCACCTAGGCAGGGTGCAGGACCACAGCCAGTGGTGGGGCAGCTCATCAGGCTGCAGTGGCTAGGCCACCTGTGACTGGTCCAGGGAGATGCATGGCACCCCAACAGGCAGTGGCAGTGACTGGGGCTTTCTCTCGCATAGGTCTGTGTCAGCTGTTCCAGTGCTACTCAGGTGGCAGCAGTGGCACTGTGAAGATGGCAAGATGGCAGTGACAGATGGCGAGGGCTGGTAGGTATCCGCTCTTCCTAGATCCCTGGGAAATGGCCAGTGGGGGGACTGGTGGTAGTGCATGGCAACCAGTCTTAGTGCACGTGAGAGCACCCACCCTCCCTGGGCTGGGTGGAACAATGGGGAAGTGGCTGAAGTGGAGTTGACCCTTCTGCAAACCAGGCATTCTGGGGCAGAGAGTGCACAATGGCACCTGTTGCAATGACCTGGGACCAGAAGCTGACAGGACCCCACTGAGCCTCCCCTCTGGTGCAATGCTTCTGCACAATCGTCAGGCAGCTCCCTGATCAGTTCAGAGGCCTGCTGTGGTGGGGAGGTCCTTTTGCAGCTCTGGTTGCAGCATCGGCGGAGCTCTGGAGATCTCTGACCCTTCGCCACGTGGGGATGCTTACCCAACGTACCCTGCTGTCTCGCCACGTGGATCGCCTTGCCTCTCTCTCCCTAGCTTTCGGTGTTGCCAGTAACTTCTCTGATGATTCGCAATGCTTTCTCTGAAACGGTCCATCCATGGTGACTCCTCTACCAACAACATATGATCCCTTCCTTGAGAGCAGCAAGCGTGGGCTGCTTCTAGTCCACCATCTTGCCCCCCTCCCTGGAATTATTAATTTTAAACAGGTAATAATTAATAAAAGTGCACCCTAGAGGAAGCAGAAGGAATTAGATGTTCAAGAGGGAGATTGCTTCTTTACAAGAAATAAATGGACCCGCTCAAGCAGAGGCTTCTGATTCTTCAATAACCCTCAGTCTCATAGGAGGGGAGGTGAATTATCATCCTCTTGCCTGCTGCTTTTCCTACTGCAGGAGAGGGTTCTAGTGCGTCCAATCATTTACTTCCACCTCCCTTACAAAAAGAGGATTTTCCATTTTCACCCCTTGCCATATAGTTTGCAGGGCCTTCCTCCTTCTAGGCAGAGCATACCTCCCCAGCTCACTCTCAGGTGTGGAAACGTGACTTGCTACGGCCATTGCAACGTGAGCTTTGAAGATAAAAGGCAAATTGAAAGCAGGAATTCCACCACTTTGCCCTCTTGCTGTTTTCTGTTATGCTATAAGACCTGCATATCCTAACTGGAGACTGTTTTGTCAACCTGAGTTCTTCTTGAAGGAGAAGACACAATGGAGCTGCAGAAACATAACACCTCTAGCTGTCAACGTGTGACATGAGAGAAATATATGTTTCTTTTGTATTAGCCACAAAGGTTTTTGTTCTGGTTCTTGCGACTGAAAGCCAACGAATACAGAAGCCATTCATCTTCAAATCACATCCGAGAAAATAATTCGTGCTTAAATGAAGCCTGTGCCATTTAGTAATTTCCCCTTGATTGAGTTCCAGATCTGGTTTTCAGATGTTTCTGCCCTCCACCTGCAGGAGATCATACTTACATACATGCTGTGAGGAAGACCTCTGGCCTTCACACTTAGACTTTAATAGCCTTTCCTTATCTTTTTACCAAAGCAACAGTTGTTCCCAATAACAGCTCTCAGTTAAAATGAGAGAGGTACTTTTCTCATCTATGTCCATCCTTTAGTGTGATTCTATTGTAGCAATGATTCTCAAGAACACTTTATGAAACATCTGCAACAAAATTATCTATGGAGTCTACTAGCAATGCAGTTTCCTGAGCTCTACCATAAACCTAATAAATCAGAACCTCAGCCAGTGGATCCCTGAATTTTCAGTTACCACCAACCTCCAGGTGGTTAGTACACACATCAAGGCTTAGAACAAATGCCAGAGAGCTTAAAGAGGACCAGTAGGAGATTAATGACAAGGAAACTAAAGCATCAAAACTTTGCTGAGATTCTTCTAAGGTCCCCTTTAAGCCTACAGCAACAAGTGCAAAAGATCATATGTTCCTACAAAATTTGAAAGGGTAGGGAATTGGAACTACCACTGGTTAACACTGCTTTCTCTTACTATTCCCACCTCACCTTGGACACACCTTCCATCACATCAGGTGGACTTAGGATGGATCCGGCCATTTTATATTCATAACTTCCACTATAAGGTGGCCTTGGAGTGGCTGTAGGCATTTTGTAATCATAAATTTATATCTTTTTCTTAGAGTCAGCCCCTAAAATTATATAAGATTCTGGTCCTTCAGAACCTGAATCTGCTTATCATGGGGACCAACAGGGAGCAATTCAGTTTGATTTTATCATTTTACAAAGGAAGAAAATAAAGCTCCCAGGGGTTAATGAACATTCCCAAGCCCACACTATTAAAAGCTGACAAAGTCAATTTTGGAACCGAGGTCTTATTATTTCCATTTCAGGGAACAATACACTGCTTTCCCCCAAATATGAAGCCATCATTTAAAGCATTTATACTCACTTTTAGGTTATGATATGTGCATTTTCCATTATTTTTGAAGTCCATTTTTAAGTTTAAAAAAATCCTATGAATAGACTATAAATAACTTTTTAGTAATAAACCTTATTAAACACACCTGACATGATCTTAGTACTAATTCTGCTCTTCTCTGAGGTTCTTTTTTCATTTAGAAAACTAAGATGTTAATATCTTCCCATATTTTAGAGTTATTTTATATTAACTGAGAAAATTACTATAACAATTTATTAAATGGCATATTTTATAAATAATAAATTGTTATAGTAATGGTTTAAAAATTTTAAATGTTGATGTAGTTAACATAGACACCTTGTACATAGAAGGTCATTTTTAAGAAAACAAAACTGTGACAAATGAAATATATCTGAGAAATGAAGATGAATCCAAGAATACACCTCAAGAGAGATCATTAAAAAGCAACTGAATTTGTTGGGTTACAAGGTTGGGGTTATCAATCTAGGAACACTCTGATTAAAGGGCTATCTTGTGTACTTGTTTACATGCACAGCCTGGGGACATTTAGGTTATTCTACCAGGACAACTTTCCCTTTTACTATAGAAGGATACACTTCTCGCTTGAAAATAAACAGCAGCTTTTCTCATGGCTCTCAGTGGAAAGAAAAGACACTTTTCTTAAACAATTACCATGATTACATTTGATGGACACTGCACATTTTTTTATCTGAAATAATTTTTCCCTTAACTTCGGCAATCTGGAAGCACAGGGAAAATTTGCTGGCAACTTCCACAAAGTTTACTGACTTTTGTGGCATGAGTCTCTTGCAGTATCCATGATGTACAAACCAGAGCTGTAGTTTTTTGTTGTTTTTGTTTTCCATCTGCAAGCCCCATTATTAATTACATCTCACCGTGACAGACGTCTTCAACCCAATAGATTAAATTTTCTCTCAGGGGCCAATGGCATCATCGATTAATCCCACACAACAAATATTTCTAAAGAGATTTTTAAAAGCAATCTGTAAATTCTAAAGCATGATAAATATTTAAGTTGTTCTTAACTCAGAAACCAAATCACACATTTCTGAATAATCTAAAGGAAGCGCATACTTTCCACAGGTCCAAAGAAACAGTTATTACTGCTACATTTCAGCAGAGACAAGTGTGATGCAACAGGGCACCAAACTTCAAATATGTGCTGCATGACTGAGTTGAATGCTGCCAATTTACCAGGAAAATATTTTCCATTGGTCACTAACAATAATGTGACTCTACCATCACCTTGAGTTTCCTGTGACCAGAGACATTAGTTCTTTTAGGTATTGTTCTAGTATTTAGTCAGGATTTTTTAAAGTCATGAGTTACTAAAGATTGAGTGACTGTTTCTATTTTTTAATAGATGGGAGCTTCCGTTTGCTTGTTTCTCTAATACTAATGTGTTGGTCACAACCCACTCAAAGACTGTCTTTCAGTTTTGGCAATGTTAATCTTAAGTCCTTCAGAGCCAATGATCCATTACAATGTAGATCACGCTTTGATTAAAGCACCTGGCTGAGGAATACACTGGCATCAAAACAAAGAAGAGAAACTCATCTTTTGAAACTGTTGAAATTACTGGCAGAGAAGAAAGTGGAACTTTCTTTGTTAACTTAGAAATAGAATCATCTTCACTGATATCTTGCCATGTAAATGGTTCAGCGATAGAGTAAGAGCTAAAATTAGCCAACCAGTAATACAATTTATTATACCTGATCATGCCATTAGAATTTTTTTAAAGAGCAGTGAAATTCCACCAAGCAATTGAAATTAAGTACAGAAATTTGAAACTAAAATCAACTCTGGAATTGTGGCTTCTTTACTCCTATATCAGCTTATGACTTCCAAAAATATGTTTAAAAAATTAAACATTTAAATATGCTGTGACTTCAGCAACTTACACTGTGTTATACCCAGCATGTATTAAATAAATATAAATGTAAAGAGCGGAGGAAGTAAAAAAGGAAGGAAGAGAAGGAAGTTGGGAGGGAGAAACTCAACTCCATGACATAAAAATTATAAATATCCACATTTTTCAAATGAAAATATTGAGGCACAATGAAATTGACTCACATAACCCTGCTAACAAGTATTCATATTGAGCTTTGAAATACAATGACCTAACTATATATTCACTCAATTAATTTCCACAATGTGCTATAACATAATGGTAGTTCTAAGTTAATAGCAATTATTTAGATTTGGGAAGCAACATGAAATATTGGTTGAGGACTCAGGCCTTGAGGTGGGTAGACTTAGGATCAAGTCCTACTCAGGTAATTAATATCTATGTGTAAAACAGAGATGATAATAGAAGTCATTTCATCCTGCCATGTGGAAGATGCTAACGGTTACTACTACTACTATTATATAATAACTTGTAACAACTAGAAATTATAGGATCATCCAGCATAGGCAAAATTCTCAAAAAATTCTCAAAAATTAGATTCATCAAAAATACAAGGCTGTGATTTTCCAATAGACATCCATTTCAGAGGAAAAATTTTTCTGTGTAATTTTATATTAATCAAGAACTTTGTATGTCTTCCTATTTTTGTTTAATTAAATACTGATAATGGCAATGACTACATGATTTTTAAAACACAGTTGCTCCCATTTAGTCCTTCATTGGAAAAAGGGAACTTTCTCCAAAATGTTCATATAAAGGTCTTTTAAATAATCAAAATAGCTTAAGATAATCACAGACTCAAAGAAATAAAATATAGCTAAAATTGAGAAACCACATGAATTTCTGACTATTCTCCCTCTCCCACCACTATTTTTTCCTTCCTGCTCTTTCCAGAACGTAGATCAAAATTTTAATCCAAGCATTTGTTTTTCTCATCCTTCAAAAACACTTACACAATTAAGCCAATGTTACATACTGTGAGAAATAATACACAGAATTAGATATGTAGAAATTTTCAAGTACAAAACAGTGATACAATTTCATTATTTCAACTGAAAAAAACATAGAAACATGAAACCCACAACATATAGCACAGTGATCCAAACAGCCAAGCTGCATATTTTAGCTGCTCTGCGCATGCTGGCCATGGTGCCATGTGTGTATGTATCTGTGTGTGAGCAAGCTAACAGTGTTTAGCAAGGCCTATTTGATCACTCCTATTTTTAACTCTCTTTTTTGTTCCTAAAGTCTCTGTAGATCATGTTAAAATTCAATTTAAAAATTATATTTCCCAGCTGGGCATGGTGGCTCATGCCAGTATTTCCAGCTACTCAGGAGACTTAGGCAGGAGGATCTCTTGAGCCCAGGAGTTTGAGGTTGCTGTGAGCTAGGCTGATGCCACGGCACTCTAGCCCAGGCAACAGAGTGAGACTCTGTCTCAAAAAAAAAAATTAATTAATTTTAAAAAATTTAAAAATTATATTTCCCATATAATGTCATTTTTGATATAAAATAGAAAATATGGTGAGAGCAATACAAACAAAAGATGATCAATTAAAATTACTTAGAATAGAACACCTGTGTTTTTTTCTTTAAGGAGGAAATGGTGCACCATAGGCCCCAGATTATATTCCTGAGGTGATAGCATATTATGATTTGTTGTATATGTTTCCTCAAGAAACACCAAATACTGAATGGGTCAAAGCTCCTCAGAAATGGAAAAAAAAGCAGAAAAAGACTGCCAAATTGGCAACGATAACTTACCTATCTTTGTTTGAAGAGCATTAACCCATAAGTTATCTTATGTCTGACTAGCTTTTCCCTTATAGCCAATAGAAACCCACTGCAGCATATATAAGACCTGAGATTTCTTGGCCTTTCTCACCTTGATTTGCCATCTTTCAACTGGCAGGAGTCGTTGCAACCAGCAGATTAATCAGCCTGAAGAAGAATCCTCACACAAAGGTAGGTACTTGGAAATATGAACTGAAGAACTTTTACTTAGAATATTAAATTTTTCTCACACTTTCAAAAATAACACTTTCATGGGCTTTTTACAGAATGAATTATACATTCATTTTTACCAAAAAATAAGTGCTTTACATGAAATTATAAGTCATTTAATGTATTAAATTTGGAAAATTCTACATGTCAAGGTATTTATGCTGGGCCTTTAGGATTGTCAGTCCATCCAAGTACACAACTGACTTTCCCCCTGATGTACCTTTAAGGTCTTTAAACTTCAGAATGAGAAAATACTCTCAGATGTACTCTGAAAGAGGGAATTAGCCTATATTTTCATTATTTAGTTTTTCTTTTGTTTTTCAAGCTTCTTATAAGAATGGATTATAGGAAAAGTAATGTCTAAAGGAATGGCCATAGCCACATGTAATTGAATGTCCAGTGAAATCTCGTCCCTAGGATTCTTTCCAGACTTGCATTGTTCAGCCAACACACTACTTAGGGGCAAAGGTGACTGTTAGGAAACCAATATGCACAATGGTACATGCAGTTGCTTTTCCAAAACTCAGGCAATCATGTACTTGATGTATATTGTACATTTTGAGTCAATTGTGAGTAAAGTTCCTGAACACTTCTGTTTTCTTTGCCCTGTGCTCTTTGATCTATCATATTTGGATTTTTGGAAGCACTTTGAGACTACTGATTAAGGACTAAAAAAACTTAGTAAAATGTTGTTAAAACTAGGATATATATTATGTGACTCTTTTAAATTATAGCCAATAATGATACTTATCCTTTCCTTATTTTTGAGGTATTCTAAGAATTTAAATTTATAACATGTGTTCTAATGTAAATGTTAATATCTCAAACACAAGTCTATAGAAAGAATGTAACTGCTATAAAAAATACCAAAATGTTCAAATGTAAATAAATGTCCCTTTCAAAGTAGTTACTTATAAAGGCAAAAACTTTACTTATGAAAGCTTCTATTGCTCAGAACACTTTATGAACACAACTCTTTGGCATTATTCTAGTGTCAGTTCACACGTCAAAAAATGAAAACTAGTCCCATCATATTATAGTCAAATTGTATAACCCTACCAATATTTCCCCAAATTAATACTGAGGCCAAAATAATGTTAGGCAAATTCCTTAAAAAATGATACAATAGTATACCTGCACTACATTATACCCCATTAGATCCCATGTATTGTGACATGTCCTAAATAACACTTTTTAATTTAAAGAAACCAATGCTGATCAGGCATTGTGCTTACTTTCAGGGACAACCATAACGATGAAACCACTGTCTTTCATCTTGGGCCTTTCTGCTCTTGTAGCATGTTTCACAGTAAGTATCATATTCATAAATTATTATCACACACCTTCATATTTTTCTCTTTATTAGTTCAGATTTCATCTTACATTAATTATGTTACCCTTTCTTATACATTAATATCCACCAATCATTGATGAAACACTGTTCTGCTGCTTTAAATGTAAATTTAACATTTAATTTAAGTTAAATAGCCACACATGGCTAACAGCTACCATACTGAACTGCTCACATATACATAGCATCAGATTGCATTATACAGATAAGTATAAATGGGGGTCCTATACTCTAGCAATTATGCAAGTAGGTAAAATTCTATAAAATGAGATAGTTAGAACAGTTATTGTCAAAATGTGGTTCTTGGATCATTTACAACAGAATCACCTGACTCACTTATTAAAAATTTAGGTTTTTTTCTCAGACATTCAAAGATAACATTTTCATGGGCTTTCTATAGAATGAATTATACATTCATTTTTTTAAAAAAAGTGCTTTACATGAAATTATAGGCATTGAACATATTAAACTTTGAAAAATTCTACATGTCAGAGTAAAATACTTATGTTGGGCATTTGGGACAATCAGTCCATCCAAGTACATAATTGACATGTTCTCACTTATAACTGGAGCTAAATGATAGGTATACAAGGTCATTATGTGGTGTAAGGGACATTGGAAACTACGAAGGGAGGAAGCTAAGATGGGAGTGAGGGAATAAAAATAATCTATAGGGTACAATGTACACTATATTCTGGTGACTGTTATACAAAAAAGTCCTGACTTCAGCATTATACAATTCATCCATGTAACAGAAAACCCCCTAAATCTATTGATGAAAAAATATATATATATGTATGTATGTATGTATGTATGTAAAAAATTACAGACCTCATCCAAACTAAATAAGAATATCTGTGTTCCTAGAGAGAGGCAAAGCTATAAAATGTAACCAAAATGTCAAAAAGAAAAATTTATCATTGAAGATACTAAATATCATAGAAAATTTTGAGGGATTTTTTAAAAACCACATATTTTTTTAGTGGAATGATACTCAATTTCAAGGTACAGATAGATTTATCCCAGTGTTACAAAGAGTAGATTAATTTTGGTGTAATTTCTACCAAAGAACTATAAAATCTACTGTATCAAAGGGAAAAGTATGAAAACATATTTTTCAGAAGACTAGAATTTCCACAAAGCAGACAACCAAAAGTTATATCATTCTAATACATGAAATGCAAAATAATGCCTGTTCCATCTGCTTTCAGAAACTTCAATAAAAGCAAGTCATTCAAAGGCAACTGAGGAAGTCTGACATTGGCCGTATTACTCAATACATTATAGATGGGCAAAATTTTTGAGAAGCCAATAAAACATACTGACATATTGAAAGGTCATATTATGTCCTAATGACTTCCTTGACCTTAAAGCTGATTTTCAATATTTTCATGTCCTCAGGATATAAGAGAAAAAACAGTTCATTACTTTAAAGTATTGGGCTTTGATTATCTAAATAATTATTTTTTTCAAAATGAATTTGAAAAGGAGAGATTCCAATAATATAAGAGGCTTAACATAAGCAGTTTAAATAGAATAAGTCTATCTTCAATTTAACCATGAGATTAATGAGTAGTAATAATTACTATTGGAAAGGTGATGGATAGTATGTCCTTTACATACATATATATACACACACATTTAAATATATATAATAAATAAATGGGTAAGGTAAGTAGTCATATTCAGCCTGTCATCTTTTCAGTGTTTTCTGTTATAGGTAATTTTCATGATGCTTTGCATATATTCTCTCATTTAAGCCTCAAAGCAAATCTGACTACTCTTAATCTCATTACAACATAAATATAGCTTCAAAGTATCCATGTTTTAGCTGAACTAAACCAAGGAATGCAGGAAATTAGCTCCAAACTGTAGCCCTCTGAGAGGGTAGTATTTCTTCCTAACACACGCTGCTGTCATCATTTTTACTAAGTTCATTACCTTTGGCCAGTTGTGGAAAGGGAGCTAACAACTGTGATTGGGTTAAGAAATTAAGAAAAGAACAGATATGTATCATGAAGATGTTTTCACTATATAATATGTAGATCAATATAATGTATAGACACTCTTAGGATGTCTTTAGCAGGCAAGGGTACTTTCAGCTAATTTTTTTGTCTCAACAATAAAAATGTTGTGAAATATTTTCCTACACTGAGTACTTGTTTTCTTGATGATTAAAAATCAAGTCCCGAACTTGCATACACCCTGACTACGCTTTGGATTGGCAGCCATGGGTCACATCCCCTCCAAATCCAATAAACTCTAACTAACTAGAGAGAGCAAGCATGAGGCCTGGTCCCACAGAAGTAACTTGGCACTGTTTGTTTGTTTCTTTGGTGAATCCAATATAAGAGTTTTTCTGTCACATTGGGGACAGAAGCCAGGTTGGGAGTGACTGGGAAATGAGCAGTAAAGCTGGCAAATCCACAGTCCCTTTTCCTAGAGCTTCACTCTGAAGGAAAGAGGTGACAAGAATGTAGTAAGAATGAGAGTATGGGTGCTTGAAAGTGAACATTTCTTAAGCAAAGGAATAATATAAAAAGAGAATTTTTTCCAAAGATCTCTATAACCTCTGCATTTTAGGGGGGGGTCAAGTGTAGAATGAAAATAATAAAATTAAGGGGTCACTACAGTAATTCAGGTAAAAACGAATGACTTAGAGTAGAGTAGAAGCAGGAGAGATGAGTGGCTGGATTTAGAATTGGGAAGGCAGGGAGCAAGGCTGATAGGATTGGGTGGGAAGGGTGAGTTCAACGTAAGTGATAGTTATTTTCTGGGGGAAAAAAACAATCAGTTAAGTGGCAGATCCTGCAATTACAGGAAGTAAAAGGAAAAAGTGACAGAGACAAGTTCCTGAGGAAGCACTTGTAAAGGAGAAGGAAATATCTAGATACCAATGACTTTAGGGTTGTGTAGCCAATAAATAAGGAAGTTCATTTCTAATTGCCTGCAATATCTTGATGAAGTAGGAGGAAAGCCAGGTTGGTGGGGTTGGATGAGGGCTCAGGACAAGGTAGAATACTTTAATAAAACTGGCATCAACTTGGAAATGGCAGTCCTCTGGGGAAGGAAGTAGAGCTAATCTAAGACACTCGAAAGGATTTCAAGCAGCCCCGAAGGACCCTACGTGTGGGATGGAACAATGCTTGTGACATCTTTGCACCACTGTCAAGAACCAGGAATTAGAAATGGAGGAGACAGGTTGGTTTAGGCCAATACTGGAGTTTGGAGTTAGCAAGGGCAATGGACCAGTCAAACAAACAGGTAAAGAATTGAGGACCACACAAGTAAAAGTAGTTGTGTGTCCTATATAAACTGCCTACTCCAAGCAGCCTGCACTTTTTATCATTAGAGTAGCATTTGGTCTTTCTTACACCAGAGCATGTACATATTTTCCCTCTGTTGGCCATGGCCCTCTGCTCAGGATCTCACAAGGCTGAAAAAATGTTGCCAGGGCTGTATTTTTTTTTTCCTGCAGCTCAGGTCTTCTTTTAAGCTTGTATTATAGTTGTTGGCAGAATTCAGCCCTTCAGTGGTAGGACTGAGGTCCCTAGTTTTTCAATGGCTGCAACCCAGGGGCCACACTCAGCTCCTACAGCCCATTTACCATGACCGCCATGTGGCCTCTCCACAACATGGCTCCTGGATTAGAAACCAACAGAAGAGCACTGGCTGCAGCTTCAAGTCTCTCTGATGTCTTCTGTCTCTGACATGGTAGAACCTGTTAGAAAGGGCTCACCTGGTGAGGTCAGGGCAGCATATGCCAGCAGGGAGCAGAAATCTTGAGACCACCTTAGAATTCTGCCTGCCATAGGAAGTATTACACCCTCATCCTTGACTTTGAAATGTATGATTTAAAATTGTTTACTTCTTTTTTCCCACAGCCTGGTGAAAGTCAGTTTGGCCCTAGGGGACCATACCCACCTGGACGACTGCCGCCTCCTCCACTGCCATATCCTTTTGGCCCAGGACTCGTCGCACCTCCTCCTCCTCCGTATGGTCCAGGGAGAATTCCTCCTCCTCGTCCCCCTCTGTATGGCCCAGGGATAGCTCCTCCCCCTCCTCCTTTCCCTTAGGCCTCATCCACCTGCACCTCTGGCTTCCCCTGTGTGCCCTGCAGTCCACCCGCCTCCCATCCTTCTTCATCCCAAATACAAACAACCACAACAACGGTGCCATGCCCACCGCAGGAGACACCACTGCCACTGTAACTACCGCCTACTCCTCCAAATACAAATGCCAACACTGCTCCTCAGAGTCTTTTGGATAAATCCTTTCCTATTTTTGGATGATAATGAGATACTCTAAAATCTCTGAGCTTTGGGAAGAAACAATCTGAGAAAGAAATTGTGACACAACCCCCACAAACATGTGACCAATGAGATGAAAATAAAGAATTGAGCAACAATATGAAGTTTCCACTGTGGTCATCAGAGCCCCAGTTGGCCCCCAGTTAAGTCACCCACATGAACATTAGTGCTGCCAGAACTCTGACCTTGCCCCACGAGGCCAAAGAGGTAATTAGGGGGAAATGCAATGGGCCACCTGACCCTGCAGCGTAGACTATGAAACTGGAAGAGTAGGCAACAAGATCCCTCTTGAGTACTGCAGCCATCATACAATTACAAAGCCCAATATCTGTAACATGCTAATAGATACTAAAACTAAAAGATCTTAGCCCACACCACAGCATGCCGCCTAAAAATTCCTGAGTACCACCTGATCATTACTTATAAATAGAATTTAACACAGGCTGCCAGGTTCAAGAGGAGAAACACCTTTCCATATAATCTAAACATCTACCCGAGATATGGGGCACAAGTCTTGGAATTTGACATGAAAAATTTTCAAAGCTAATAAAGAGACAGGAAATGGTTTCAGATAACAATAATAAGAGGCTGAAGACTGAGATTTCCATGTCTCTATCACTTCTAAGTTGAGGTTTTAATCAAAAGCCAGTCCTACTCGGGTGGCAGCAAGTGGCACTATCAAGATGGCAGTGACAGATACTGAGGGCTGGTGGGCGTCTACTCTTCTTGGATCCCCGGGAGGTGGCCAGTGGGGGGACCAGGGGTGGTGCATGGCAACCAGTCTTAGTGCATGTGACAGCACCCGCCCTCCCTCCTCCCGCCCTGGCCTGGATGGAGCAATGGGGAAGTGGCAAAAGTTTAGTGCCTCCTGGGCCTTCTAGGATAGATTTACTGGAGCACGAGACCTTCTATTCAGTGGAAAAATGCAACACTGCCTTAGTGTCACATGGCATGGGAGCAGCAGGACAGGAAGAGTAAAAGTTAAGATTCTCCAAACTCGGTCTGGAAGACATTGGCATGAAGGAGGAGGTGTATGACACAAGAACAGACAAGAACTAACGCTTCATGGAGTCGAAGGTGGAACCTCATATTTAGACTGTCAAGGATAAGCCTCTGCCAGTGAAGACAAAATAAGAGACCAGGGCCTAGTTGGAAATCCTAATGGAATGTCATGTTAAAAATCTGTGTAACTGAAGCCAACTAAGTCAAAAAGTATCCTTGGCATTGCTGAAATGAGGCTTTCACGGGGTAAAAATGCACTGACTGAGGCACTTCCAACTTTTAGTGTCTGTGATTCCATGCAATGAGTAAGGAAGATGGATTCACAGAGTGCTCTACCAATCTCACTGTATTTGCAGGTCTTTGAAAAGATGACAATGCAGACTTTCTCTTTACCCACAGCATTAAAGTATACTATGTTCTTTTTTAAAATATCATTGTTATTTAATGAGTATTTAAATTTAAATTTTTATGTTAAATTCTTCCAAGTTTAAAACAACCAACAAAAGAAAAAATGGCACATGAACCTTTGTTGTTTAATAGAAATTTTCTTGCATTAATCGCAGTGTTTATTTTTGTATGTGTGTGGGAAAAGACAATTTAATATGAAAAGAATTATACTGAATTAGACTGAGCTGCATTGATAATAGCCTTCACACCAATCTAATGATAAGGATGAAAGTTTGCATTTTGTCAGTGTGCAAGGCACTAAAAAGAACAGTCTCTGCCAAGCGGCTTACAATTACTAACCCAGAAAATGTGTTCCACACCGTCAAGGAAAGAAAACTTAATGGTGACTTATAAAAATATCATTATGTTGCACATATGAATTCTGTTAGATACCCTGGTATGTGGAGGTATTAGAGATATATGCATTTTTTAGGTGCTAGAGTTTTATTTCAGTGCTGGCATGCTCCAGGTGTTTCTCTTACATGTCTGCTTTGAGGAGTAGAAGGTAGAAGAGTGCTCTTTTATAGGATGGAAATTAGAACAGCATTTCTTAAAAGGTGCTCCATGACACACTAAAAGACTAGCATTAAGAAATGTTACACACAAATAATAACCACATGAAATATCCAAGGTAAAGTAAAATTGAGAAATATTGCACATCCTTTGCATGTGGCTAAATATTCATTGGCATATTATACTAACAATTCCAAAAGTTCTACAATAAAGAAAGATGGTTACTTTTCCCAAAATCTATGCACACTTATTTAGCCACCAAAATCTTTTCAATGTAATGCTTATGATGAAACACATTTTGAGGAAATCTATAATAAAACTATTAGGCTTTGAGAACAGCAGAGACACAGTTTATTTCTTTTCTATTTTACCAAAAGTCACAATTCAGAACCATTCATGGGGTGAGCCTATTACTCTATCAAATTATTTATGGGATGAAGTCACAATACATAAATTTAAATGGTAACATAAACATATGTTTAAAGCCTGATGTAAGTCTATGCATCCCATCTGTATAAAAACAACGTTTTGGTATTGTCTCTCTGAAGTCTAGCCATAGTTCTGAAGATGCCCCTTCCAACAACGTGGCCCCCAACACCTTACACGCTAAAGCCACCAACAATGCTGTGGCAGCCACGTCTATCTCAGCTGCTGCGGCGGACACTTCCCTGCCTGCCAGCAGCAACAGCTTTAGTAAATCCTACAACTGTCGGAGATTACAAACATACCAAACCGCAGGAAGACAAAGGCAAACCAAGGTAAATATTATCCAAAATATTTCTAACTGAAAGACACTGAGTTGTATCTAAATAAAACCAGAATTTTTCTGCCACAACCAAAGAGAAAGAGAAACAGTTTCTAACTGTTTCACTGGCATATGGATTGGAGGCTTTTATTCCTCTTTTATTTCAAGAACTAAGTTTGGTCTCCTTGAGTAGATAGATCATATCTATAAATCCACTGAAGGCTAATTTCTACAAAAGAAGCAAAAGTTCACCACATGTCTATCTGTTGTGACCTTCTGATCCCGATACTAAAATATGTTTTGCTTTCCTGAAAATAAAGCTCCAAGGGGTTAATGAACATTCCCAACCCCACGCTATTAAAAGCTGACAAAGTCCATTTTGGAACTGAGGTCTTTGCATTTCCATTTCAGGGAATAATACACCGTTACCCTGCCAAATATGAAGTTGTTATCTAAGGCATTTGTACTAACTTTTAGGTTATGATATGTACATCTTCCATTTTTTGAAGTCCATTTTTAAGTAAAAAAATTCCTATCAGTAGACTATAAATAATGTATCAGGAATAAACTTCTTAAATAAGCCTGACACGATCTTAGTACTGATTTTGCTCTTCTCTGAAGTTCTTTCTACATTTAGAAGATTAAGATGTTAATATCTTCCTATATCTTAGAGTTATTTTTCTATTAAATGAGAAAATTAATCTAACATGATTTATTAAATAAAAAATGTGTCTAACTAATGTTTTAAAATTTTTTAAGTAATTTATATAGTTAAGAGACAGCTTGTATATAACCAGGTTCTCTTTAAGAAAATGAAATTGTGACAAATGAAATATATTTTGGAAATTAAGACAAATCCAGGAATACTTCTCAAGAGAGCTCTTTAAAGAGGAACTGAATTTGTTGTGTTACAAGGTTGGTGTTATCAATCTACCAACACTCTGATTAAAGTGCTATCGTGTATACTTGTTTACATGCACAGACAGACTGGGTACATTCAGGTTATACTACGAAGACAACTTTCACATTTACGATAGAATAATACACTTCCTGTTTGAAAATAAATGGCAAATTTTCTCATGGCTCTCTGTGGAAAGGAGAGCTACTTTTTAAAAACAATCACCATGATTATATTTGATGGACATTGTGAATTTTTTTATCTGATTTCATTTTTCTTTTAACTTTGGCAATGTGGAAGCCCCGGAAACATTTGTTGCCAACTTCAAGTTTATAGCAAGTATAGCAACTTCAAGTTCAAGCAAGTTTATAGACCTTTGTGGTGTGGGTCTCTTGTGGGATCCACGTTGTCCAAATCAGAGCTATCGCTGTTCTTCAATCTACAAATCTTATTATTAATTACATTTTATCATGGCATCACTGATTAATCCCACACAATAAATTTTCTACAGAAATTTTTAAAAGCAATCTGTAAATTGTAAAGCATGAAAAACATTACCTTGTCATTAGCCCAGAAACCAAATGACCAATTTCTGAACAATCTACAGGAAACACACACGTTCCACAGATCCAAAGAAACAATTATTACTACCATATTTCAGCAGAAATAAGGGTAATGCAACTTGGCAGTAATTTTCAAATATGTGGCTGCATGACTGAGTTTAATTCTGCTAATCTAATTATATCAAGAAAACGTTTTGCATCTCTCACATAAATCTCTGCACTAAGAATAGTGTGATTCTACTGTCACCTTGAATTTCCTGTGACCAGAGACATTAGCTCCTTTAGGTATTATTCTAGTAAGTATTTAGTCACATTATTTTAAAGTCATGAGTTAATTAAAGATTAACTTGAGTGACTGTTTTTCTTAACAGACAGGTGCTTCCGTTTGCTTATATTCCTCCACTACCTTGCTAGTCACAAGCCACTCAGAGATTGTCTTTCAGTTTTGCCAATGTTAATCTTAAGAACTTCAGAGCCAATGATCCATTACAATTAGATCACACTTTGATTTAGAACACTTGGCTGGTGAATGCGTTGGCATCAAAACAAGAAAGAAGAGACAGTCATCTTTTGAAACTCTATTGAAATTATTGGCAAAGAAGGAAGTGGAACTTTCTATTAATACATTCATTTAGAAATAGAATCATCTTCCCTCATGTCTGGGCATGTAAATGGTTCAGCGATAGATTAAGGGCTAAGATTAGCACCAGTAATAGAATTTATTATACTTGATTATGTCATTAGAAATTTTTAAAAGTCTGTGAAATTCTAACAGCGAAAATGAACTTAAGTACTGTAATTTTAAAACTAAAATAAACTCTGGAAGTGTTTTCTCTCTTCCTATAACAACTACAACTTCCAAAAGATTTTTAAAACACTAAGCAACTAGATATGCTGTAACTTCAGCAATTTGCACTATGTGTTATACCCAGCACATACTCAAAAATGTCGAATGAGCAAAAGTAGTAAAGAAGGAAGAAAGCAGAGGAAGTTGGGAGGGAGAAACAAAACTCCATGACATAGAAATTTTAAATATCAACATTTTTCAAATGAAAAAATTGAAGCATAATAAAGTCGACCCATACTGTCCAGATAACAAGTGTTGGCATTGGATTTGAAATAGAATGATATGACCATAAATTCACTTGATTCATCTCCACTATGTACTGTAACATATTTGTTCTAAATTTATGGCACTTATATATTAACATATTTGGGAGGCAGCAGATAATACTGGTTAAGGACTCAGGCTTGAAGTACACAAACTTAGGGTCAAGTCCCACTCAGCTTATTAGTATCTATGTGTGAAAAAGGGTGATAATAGAACTCATTTCAT